TACACAGATACATACAGACATACTGACATACACACACACAGACATACATGCATACTGACATACATACTGATAGATATATACATACACACATACATACATACTGACATACACACACAAACATACATAAATACAGACATATATACATACTGACATACACACACACATACAGATAGACACATACAGACATACTGACATACACACATAGACATACATGCATACTGACATACATACACACACACATACATACTGACACACACACAGACATATATACATACTGACATACACACACAGACATACATACTGACATACGTGCATACTGACATACATACTGACATACACACACACAGACATACATACATACTTTCAGACACATACACATACATACATACTGACATACACACAGACATACACATACAGATAGATAGACACATACACACATACATACAGACATACTGACATACATACACACATACATATTGACACACTCACACAGACATACATACTGACATACACACACAGACATATATACATACTGACATACACACAGACATACATACTGACATACACACAGACATACATACACACAGACACACAGACATATATACATACTGACAGACATACAGACATATATATACATACTAACATACAGACATACTGACATACACACACACATACATACTGACATACACACAGACATACATACTGACATACACACACACAGACAATCAGACATATATACATACTGACATACACACACACACACACAGAGACATATATACATACTGACATACACACAGACATATACATACTAACAGACATACAGACATATATACATACTGACACACACACACACACACACAGACATACTGACATACATACATATACACACACACTTCCTTTATCAGCCACCCTCCTCTTACCTTTAAGTTGCAGGAGGGTGGCTGGGGATGATGGGAGTGGATGCCTCTGGTGTGCTCTCCTGGCCTCCGCTCTCCCTCTCCTCCACTCTCCTGCTGCTCTCCCCCTGCGCGGAGTAAGTAAGCAGCATTTGTGGTGCAGCTGCGATTTTTTTTTTTTTTAAAAGGGGCCCGGTCGCGCAATTACCCGGCCGCATCGCTGACCGGGCCCCTGAATACTTGGGCCACCTGATGGGCCAGTGACAACCGTTCTGGTTGTGGTTGTCACCCCCTGATGGCAGCCCTGGCTGTGGCCGTTGCCCTTATCTATTATACAGGTGTCGCGTATTTATTGGGCAACGGGTGGGTTCGTGGGTCAGCAGTCATGTATCCTGATTGGCTGCTCTGTTCCTAGGCAGATTT